ATTCACAGAGACTAGGCACGTACAGAATCAAAACAATAATTTATCCGCTCGCCGTGCTGTGGTGCATAAACAGAAAAAAAAGAAATATACTGGCCAAATGTCTTTTTGCGTCCTATTCCTTTACGGCCACGATGACGTCATATAAGTCGGCGAGGTGGATCCAGATTCCACGGACGAGGACACGAGTAGTTCGGGTTTTAGCGAGAAGAGTTGAGACTGATCGCGGACTGCAGGTGCAATGAACGGAGTAAGATATTCTCGGGCCACCGGTTTGAACGCGAAATAAGGTGTAAACTCCCGTAGGTTTTCATAGACTATCGCTCTACACCCTATTACCTGCCCGTTTTGAAAACTGATTTGCACCTGGACTAAGAGCCAGGCGCACGAGGACTACACAAAGGCCGGGTGTGCTGCAAACTCCTACGAGCTCTAAGACGCAGTGATGGGTATCTTATCTGTGCCTGGTGGGATCTTGCTGTGGCAACATAGGAAGGGAGGACACCAGAAGCGAGGTTGGGATAGCGACCTCCATGGGACACTTAATAGGATAATACAGGGAAACATACTATGTCTACTTATCTCCCGAGTCGTGTAAAGCTGATTTACACAGACTATATGAAATGTACTAAAAAGTGTCTATATATATATATGTATATATGTATATATATATATATATATATATATATATATATATATATATATATATATGTATATATATGTACATATATATAAGTACATATATATACATATATATATGTATATATGTATATATATATATATATATATATATATATATATATACATATATATTTATGTATGTATATTGTATATACATGTACATATATATAAATATAAATATAAATATATATATATATATATATATATATATATATATATATATATATATATATATATGTATATATACATATATATTTATGTATGTATATTGTATATACATGTACATATATATAAATATAAATATATATATATATACATATATATATATATATATATATATATATATATATATATATATATAAACACACACACACACACACACACATATATATATATATATATATATATATATATATATATATATACATATATATATATGTATATATATATATATATATATATATATATATATATATATATATATATGTGTGTGTGTGTGTGTGTGTGTGTGTGTGTGTTTATGTGTGTGGGTGTATGCATATACATGTACATACATGTATATATATATGTACATATATATCTGTATATTTATACACGCTATTTTGAAAGGTTTTAAAAATCAGTAAACGTTTTTTTTGTGTGTGACGTCACCGCCGCCACTCGTCCGCCGCCGTGCCTTTCCTCCGCACGCCGACGGGGCAGGAATGAGGAAGGAGCGCTGAGATTACCGGCCGCCCGCCCCTCATATAAAGCGACCTGCCGAGGCACGACACACACACCGTGCCCAGACCTCCTGGCAATACATACCCCAACGAGCTCTCCAGGTCGAAACAACCGAAGCAAAATGAAAGTGGTAAGACCAGAAGGAAACATTTTTTTTTTTTTTTATCTTTAATTTTGTTTTGATGTATCAGGGAAATACAACTCGAGCTTCGTTTCTGGTCTCTTCTTTCTTATGTAGTGAAATAATTCTTAGAAAACGAAACATATATGAACAATACACCGTGACGTTTCGAGTCAGTGAAATTCCTGTGTTTCATATTATATGCACACACGTTACTGTGTTTGTTTGTATTTCTTCTTAGTCCTGTTGCTCTCCTAAGCAAATTAGGGTGCATAGGTGCGGTCAGTATGTGCATGACACCTAGGTCTTTGCATATGTGCACCTTTGTATAAAAAAAATCAATAAAGGATAATAATAATGTGGATCTACAGCAAAGTATAGCAGAATGTGTGAATCATTTGGCTTTACATCTTCGTCTGTGAACAAGCGAGACCCTTACTGCTCGCGATACGGTGAATCTCGAGAACATTTAGGGTTTTCTTCCAGTCGCTGTTTCCTTTGGTTATTGACAGAAGATAATAATTATTCATTCGTGTGTATGTATGTCTAAATATACTTGCCATTATATTTAAGGAGCAGCCATTGTAATTTCGTTTGGACTACAGTTCCAGATGCTGTTTGTGCTGACCCTCTGCGTCGTGCTGGAGTTGGCGTTGGCCTACCCCGCAGCTGAAGCCGAAGCCGAACCCGAAGCGAGGCGGCGTTTCGGAAGTTTCGGAGGATTCGGCGGCCATGGATTCGGTCACGGTGGATTCGGTCACGGTGGATTCAGCCATGGATTGGGTCACGGTGGATTCGGCCACGGATTCGTTGGCCACGACCACGTTATTCATCACGGCGATCATATTCACGTCCTCCACCACCATTTTTAAGCGGTCATCGGATGGCCTTGCCTGACTGTGACCTAGACGAAGGAAGCGCCGCCTTTGCCGAACGCTTATATTAATGATTAACAACGTAATACATTTTTTATACATATGCATGATTTTCATTCCTAAGTTCCTAGTACCATCAGGATAAAAATGCCATGAAAATGGGAAGTACACAATGAATAAAGTTAAGATTATTAAGACTGTACGCACGTAATACTATTGTAAGCTGCAGTATCTTTCTGATGGCAAAAGTAAACTCACATAAAACACGCATTTAGAAAAAAAATACATTCAATTAAACATAGCCACACGGATAAAATCACACGTAAACAAGTACCTACATAAAAGAAAATAGATAAATAGGAAAAGAAACGCAATCTTCGGTCTAGTTTCTAGTCTGTCCTACAGCCTTGAGTGCGCAGTTTCAGGTTGCTTGGTGTGGAGATGAATGCGTGACGACCACATGCATCCTCGTTCGCATATACAAATTCAGATACACACACAGACATACGTATACAGACATATTTATGCACAGATATACACGCACAAAACACACACACACATACATACACACACACACAAACATACACATCCACACACACACACACATCCACACATACACGTACATGCATACCGTATATACACATACATAAGTACATATGAAATGCCCGAAATATATCTCTACAGGATACCTTCGTTTATCATGAATACTCAACTACGTCGTTAGAAATCTTGTATTATTCGACTTATCCGAATTTCCTTAATTGGAGAATATGTATGCAGCGCGCGCACGTGTGTTTGTTTGTTTTGTTATCAGTGTGTGTTTCTTGTGAGCTTGTTCGTTTTCCTTTTTTGTGTGTGTGGTTGTCCGAGTGTGTATGCGTAGTTGTCGTTTTGTGTGTATATTTGTATTTGAATGTGTGTTTTTGTCTTTCTGTGTATGTTTTTATTCCTTGTGTGTGTTTGCCTTTGCGTATAAATGTGTTTATTCTGTCTGTGTGAGCATGTGCGTGTATGATTGCGTGTACGTGAGTGTATATATGTGTGTGAGTGTATATGCATATGTGTGACTGCGTGTGCATGAGAGCGTGTTTGCCAGTGCATGCGAGTGCGTGCGTGCCTCTGCAACGACGCATAGGTACCTCCTCGTGTTCATGGGTCGGCAAGCAGGGCGGGCGAGTGCGCTGGGCTCACCTTGCCAAGGTCAAAGCAATTCGGCAACCCCGTTATGTCTGACAGGGGAAAATGACCTTCTGTGCGTCAACGTCTTGTAGAAGAATCCGTTTATGGAGTCACTCAAACCTTTTTTTTCGTTAATATGGAACTACACATGAATGGCCGTGTGTGTCTGTGTGTCAGTGTGTGTATGTTTGTACATGTGGCTAAAGTGCAAACACAGACACGCAGACGCAGACACACGTACACGCACACAGCTCATAAACACACACACATACACACACCCACACACACACACACACACACCCACACCCACACCCACACACACGCAAAAAGTATATCGGCAGAACCAAAATAAATTTTAATAATAATGAAACCTTTTTGAGATATGGCCTTTCGATCAGACAGGGGTGTGTCTGTCAGAGTCACAAACGTTAAGATATGCCAAGTTTAGACCTTTACAACTTTTTCATTTGTTTAAGAAGAAACCAGATATTCATCGTGCTTATGGACATTCATTTCGAGATTGGTATTAGTTATGCTTCTTTTCTGAGATATAAGCCTTAAATTATGTTCCTATGCGTAATATACGTAATAAATATTCTTTAATAAGCAAATTCAATAAAAAAATATTTGGCTATTATTGGCTTAATTAATATATCTGCAACCTGTATATTTTGTGGATTACACGCAGGAAATTTATATATATATATATATATATATATATATATATATACATATATATATATATATATATATATATATATATATATATATATATATATTTTTTTTTTTTTTTTTCTTTTTTTTTTTTTTTTTTTTTTTTTTTTTTGTGTGTGTGTGTGTGTGTGTCTGCTTCAAATTAGGATTTTTTTAAACATGATAAAATTTACTCACTTTTCTGGTGAAATTTTCTGTGTTGATTTTTTTCCCTTTCTTTTGTTCTTAATGTATGTCTTATGGTATTATTTTCAAAATGAACCTAAAAGTTTTTTTCTTGTCTTCCACGGCGTATATTATAAGACAAAATAAGTAAAGCGTCGAGTTTTATAATGAATTATATCATCATTAAGTTTTATAATGAATTATGAATTATTAATTATGGTGAATTAAGTTTTATAATGAATTATGTTTGGCCTCTTATCTTTTTTGTTCAATCAAGTACATCAACGATTCTTATTTTTTCCCCGGGCCACCACTGTCTAGTTTTAGAATACTAAAGACTATTTTGTCTACGTTTCATCCCCTTTTATAAATGAGGCTGAACTGGGCATCTAAGCCATTTGCGGCACAGTTTTTCCCAACGTTAATAATGAGTAACATTTTCATTTACTGAGTTATGTTCTTGATATTCTGAGATTCACCATGAATATGAATATTGGAAGATATTTTGTATGTATGTTCGACCTTTTTTTCTTCTTTTTATAAAGGAGGTTGAACTTAGCTCCTTAGCGATTTGCGAAGTGTATATGTGTGTATATATGTATACATATATGTCCATATGTACGTATGTATGTATATTTATGTATATGTATATATCTATGTCTATCTATCTATCTATACAAATATATGTGTATATATATATGCATATATGTGTACAGACACACACACACACACACACGTGTATATATATATATATATATATATATATATATATATATATATATATATATATATATATATATATATATAATATATATATATGCATATATATATATATATATATATATATATATATATATATATATATATATATATATACATATATACATACATATATATCGAAGCAATCACGATGCTGTTGATTTAATTGAAGTTGTAGAATAAGACGAAGAGACGTGTTATGGAATTTAGGTATCTAGGCGACCTTTGGAACACCTTTTGCGTATGTATATTTTGTATATACATACGTATATATGTATATATATATATATATATATATATATATATATATATATATATATATATATATATATATATATATATATATATATATATATATATATATATATATATATATATGTATCTTTAGGTAGAGGTTCCCTGTGCTATTAAAATTTATGTCAGAGGTTGTTCTAAGGTGTAAAGATTAGGAATCACTTGTGCACACAGTTTTAAAGATAAAAATATAACTCCACAGAATCACAAAACACCGGATATGTTAAAGAAGACATCAGACTAGATCCAATTCTTTTTATTTTCATAACATACAAAATTCTTAACCAACACAACAGATCATTCCCGTCCATCTGAAAAAATGGCATGCGCGTCGGAAGACTTTTTCTTCAAACAAGAAAAAAGGAAAAATAAAGAAAAAAAAAGAAAGAAAGAAAAAAAGGATGAAATACAGATTTTAACAAATGGATCACTACTGGATTACATAGTTTTCTGAAATAAATATATTTTGTTCATCAATTTGTACTTTATTTGCAACTTTTGAATATTAATCCTCTCGCCACTCAAAAAAAGACATATTCTATACCAACTAGAAAATGTAAATGCATAAATATTTCAATACTCAAATCAAATTTATAAATAAATATATTATTTTTAAAATGAAATTCTTTCAGGGTTACGAAATACAATCAAAGCTTCTCAGTTATCAAATATCCTTAAAATAAGAGAACAAATTCTTTGCAACATATTCAGTAAAGTAGAAAGTAACTGAAAATCTTACCTAAATTAGCAATGCGAAGGAAATCACCTTTCGGAAAATTAAATTAATTGTATTATGCTAAAGTAATTAAGAATTGCCCTCTATTTGTACTCACAGGGTATAATCAATATTGCATCTACATATGCAGAGCAAATAAGCTCTGTCATGAAACGAGAAAATTTAACCAAAACATACATATATCAGGTCCTTCCCCCCATTCAAAAAAATCAAATAAATTTCACGAAGATTAAACATTCTAAAAGAGAGAGAGAGGGAGAGATAGAAAGAGAGAGAGAGAGAGAGAGAGAGAGAGAGAGAGAGAGAGAGAGAGAGAGAGAGAGAGAGAGAGAGAGAGAGAGAGAAAGAGAGAGAGAGCAGCTCCTGTGGACGCAAATCCTCACTCGACAAGGCACACGCCCCTGAGGCATCCCTGACAAAGACTGCCGTTGTGTGAGGATTTGGACGCGCCCGGCCGACGAGTGCGGATCGGCTGAGGGGTTTTCAGCCCGTAGAATTCTGAGCAGATTTTGTAATAGAGGTTGGTGACGCTCTGGAAAGAGAAAATTACTTCTTAAAAAAAAGAGAGAAAAGAAGATACATGTATATGTATATATATATTGATAGAGAGATCAAAAAGAAACTACGTGACATCAGACTAGGTAGTAATCAGTGGTGGTCCTTGGTAAAGAAGCTGGGGATCGCCAAGGAAAGGACCATCCCACCACTGAGCAGAGATAGTGGCAGGCAAGAAGGCTAAACTCTTTCCACAATTATTTAGTAACAAAACGACTGTCAGTACCTATGGCTTGTGTCTATGCTGACGACTGCTCTATTAGTTTCAGCCATAAAAGACAAGATAGTCATGCAGTAATCATCGAAGACAACTGACTTCTTAACGCCAATGAATCCTATGGTCAGAAGTGGCTAATTATATTTGCACCCGAGATGACTCAAGCTCCCCCGAGGCAGCCATAACCATGGAGGGAAAACCAAGTTCTGTGACCAAGCTTTAAAGATTAATCTAAACATTTCAATTTTCGACGTAACCTTCGGCCACAGACTGAACTTTGAACAGCATGTGAAGGAAATCACCAAGAAAGCCTCCTTCCGCGTCACTGTACTTCGGTGGACGAGACAACTTTCAAATGCCCAAGGCTTCTGAGTACAGAGCTCAAGTGCGCCTCTTCCTGGAATATGGCCCCAGGACGTACATCAGCGTGCTTGCCTAGCTCACCAACGACGTACATCGGCAGGAAGGAGATATGAATAACGAA